TGAGTAAAGACTTATAATAATAATCGTCGATTTTAGTCTGCCTGATGTTACAGGGAAAAAAAAATTGACGGATTTTTATATTTTTTCATTGCTACCACCAATGTAATAACATTATGACTACGATAATAACAATAATAATATTAATAAATTACTAAACAACATTTTCTTGCTAACGTTACAATATAATATAATATATTAACATAAAAAGTGTGTCTATCCCGTCGGCGATCACAAGTTGTACATTGTAAAATACAACCACAAGATACGTTTTTGAATCTAAATGTCGATAAGTGTAATAATAATGTAATATTATGATGTGTCCGTCAAAAACCCGTTCGTCCCATCGCGTATATTCGTGCGAAAATCACGTGTTGCGCTCTCGAGATCCACTCGTAACCCCATTACACACACACAGACACACGCACAGCCATCTATATTATTCCATACATGCGCAATTTCAGGACGAAACGTCTTATCCAGACGAAGGTTGCTCGGGGATACAATTTTTCTTCTTCTTTTATTCTTTATCGTTTCATCAGCCGAATATGTAACCTAGTCCATTTGCGTTTAAATATATTATATAGTGTACGTGTAAACGAGCACAATATTATGCGCAGTTGTTGTCCTACAATATGGGTGGAGGGTAAAAAAAATATATAACATTTCGCCGCCGGGCCGGTTTGATGATTTATAAAAAATAATATTAACAATCGTCCTGTATAATAACACTCTGCGGTTATATATAAGCGCGGAGCTGCTATTAAAACGCCGTGCGGCATTATTTTATGCGTACAAGTATAATAATAATATACGCTCTGCGGCTGTGTGGCCGACGCCGCGCACACACTGCACGCACAAGTCTACAAGTCGGCGCTCGGTCGGTGAATCGAGCGGGTCGGTGGCGTAGGTGGAGGGCGTTAGCGTGTAGCGTGCAGAGAGAGCTTTTGCGGTGCGGTATACGGCGGCGACGGTGGCGACACGCGAAGAGGAGGACGGCGGCGGCGGCGTCGTCGTCGTCGTCGTCGTCGTTGGTGGTGGCCAGCGAAGGGGTCATGCGAAAGCCGGCCGGCAGTCTCGCTCCCCCGGCCACGCCACTCTGCTCCCCGTGTGTATCTGCTGCTCTCGTGTACGGTAGCGGCGGCGGCGACCGACCTCTCCTCTGCCGCCCGCCGCCGCACTGCCGCTGCGACTATCTCGCGCGCGCGCCCGTTTGCACGTCGATCAATATGGCGCGTAGCCGCCGTCTCGCGCGCGGGTGCGCCGCCGTCGTTGTCGTTTGACTACAACTGCACGATGAGGGATCGTTCACACTGGCCAATTTGTCCCGTCTGAATAATAATAATAATAATAATAATGAAAACCGTATATTATATTATATTTTGTAAGCAAAGGGAGGGGATGTTTCGTTTAAAAAAAAGAAATCAATTATAGGTTTTTTATTCTTCGAATTTTCGCTCCGAGGAATCAAATCGTGTAGAAAAATCTGAATGCAATACATAATCGAATACGCCGTCGTTTGTTCGCCCTGTGTAATAATCGATACACGCATATCGTGTGTACACGAGACTTTTTCGTTTATACTACGCTGCCATTAAATACTCAAACTCCGTATCCTCAACTCAAATCTCAATTATTCCCCAAAAAATAACTCGTATCACTTATATTGACATTCAGATGGAGTCATCCAACACCTAAACCATTTATTCAAATGGCAACTTTTTCGTTGGTCATTATTCTCGTGTATTGCGAATTTTACATCGATTGATATATAGGCGTATAAGTTTAACATACCTATAAATCGTACCTAGTTTTAAAATTATATTCTATTATATACACATACCCTTATTATATGAGTGATGAGTCTGTTACCTATTCTTCTGTTATTATATAATATTAACATATTGGTTCAACTTCCGATCATAATATTTTTTTACACATAATTATTTCATTATTTTATATTTTAAGTTATTACTTACAATTTTAATATTCATTAGCGCCTTTATTATAATTAAGAAAATATGTAACATCACGAATACGAAAACGCCCTTTTAACCGTTTTTAGTGATTAAATTATCATAGTCTGCTGTTTAACAATTAATCCAAAAAGTAGTAGTAATAGAATAGAATATTTTATTGTAAAATTATTAAAACAAATATTTATTTTTATTTTACAATTAAATATATATGATATGAACATATTGTACAGTGTTAAAAAAATATATTGAATTTGTAATTTATATTATTATACTATCTTCAGTTTATTATTCTCCTTAAAAATTAATTACAATTATTCTTTTATTTCTCTAATAGTCTAGTCTCTAGTAGATACTAGATACGTTTTATATATTTAATAATTGCATAAATCGTATGTTGTGTTAAAAAAAAGTTAATTAAATTTAATGTTTACTCTATTTTTAATTTATGTAATAAAACTTAATTAAAAACATTATCTGTTATTCAATTGCATTGTAGATACTTGCTTAATATATTTTGGTGCATGTACGCAATGCAAAATGGAGATAATTATATTCTTGTATGTATTCATTAGTCTCAAAATGGACACTTGTTAGAATATACCTATTTTGATCACATTTTTTATATATATATTGTGTATTAAATTTGTTATGTATATAATATATGTTATATAATACTACTTTTTAACGATTTGTTTGATAAGTACATTGTCATTGTGCATTTTAATTTTGAGTTATGAATCAGATGTTTATATTTATTTATAACTCCAACAAACTGTCCCATTTACAATATAGTTATAACGATAAAAAAAATTAATATTAAACAAAAATGTTTGTTATTATACTTTGTTCAGTCATATTTTACTATAATAAACATGAATTATTATATTTTGTTGTTATAATTAAATTGCTATGTATATGCTTATAAATTAATTTTTAGTCTAAATTAATGAATAAAATTAATTTGATTCAATATTTTATTTTTTTATAGGATGCAAGAAAAGCAGCATGTGACACAAGTCTGTCGCAAGCGACCACCAGCATGGAACCGGTCGGCCGGATACAAATGCGGACGAGACGTACCCTTCGTGGACATCTCGCCAAAATATATGCCATGCATTGGGGTTCTGACTCCAGGTAATTCAAAAATCTATAGTATAATTTGTCTAATTTAAGATCTAATTATAAAAAATTAAAAAAAAAATGTAATTTTTAATAGCATTTTTGTAATCAGTTTTAGTATTTATAGTTTTCTTTATAAGAAACTTCATAATTTAATATGTGTTAAAAATTAGTGTAATTATTAATACGTGTATAAAATTTTTATAAAATTATAAAATTGTTTATTTTTATTCTTTCTGCATTATATTTATCCTCAGCCCTCTAATGTACAATATATATTATATACTTTTAAAACTTATCATTTGTTAAATAATTTTATTCCAGAAACCTAGTATCAGCCTCACAAGATGGAAAGCTTATCGTATGGGATAGTTATACGACAAATAAGGTACATGCCATACCACTTAGGTCTAGCTGGGTGATGACGTGTGCATATGCCCCATCCGGCAGTTTCGTTGCTTGTGGTGGCTTAGACAACATATGTTCAATTTATAGGTATATTATATAATTTCTTAGTAATTTAAGTCAAATTATAATTAAAATAAATACATTTTGTTTATTGTAATATTTTTAGTTTAAAAACCAGAGAAGGTAATGTAAGAGTTAGCCGAGAACTGCCAGGGCACACAGGTTACTTATCATGTTGTAGATTCCTTGATGATAACCAAATTGTCACCAGTTCTGGAGATATGTCATGGTAAAATTTTAAATTTTTTGATTAAATTACATTTCATTCTAATTAAAATCAATTGTGTTATAGTGCATTATGGGATATTGAAACTGGCCAACAGTGTTCATCGTTCATTGGACATACTGGCGATGTTATGTCTCTGTCTATGTCACCTGATATGCGGACATTTGTATCAGGAGCTTGTGACGCTTCAGCAAAAGTATTTATAATTTATTGCTTTAAAATAAAATACAACTTAATTATTATCATTTAATTTTCAGTTATGGGATGTTCGAGATGGAACATGCAAACAAACGTTCCCAGGACACGAATCTGATATCAACGCTGTTACGGTAAATAACTTTTATAGTAATATTATAATATTATTGATTTATTTCTTAAATAAATGTATACTATTTTTAATAGTTATTTATGTAATATTATAATTAAATTGGTACATCCTTGTTTGCTCTTTTTAAAAGTTTTTTATGTTTCTATGTATAGTTTTTCCCAAATGGTTATGCCTTTGCTACTGGCTCAGATGATGCTACATGTCGTTTATTTGATATCCGGTCTGACCAAGAATTAGCCATGTATTCACACGACAACATAATATGTGGCATAACATCTGTATCATTTTCAAAATCAGGACGTCTACTATTGGCGGGTTATGATGATTTCAACTGCAATGTTTGGGACTCAATGAAAGCTGAACGTGCCGGTTAGTTTAAATATATTTTATTTAAAAATAACAAAAAAAGTTCTCTACACTCTAAATCTTTAAACATTTGTTAAGAATCAGAAATCTAAAAATTAATCATATTATATTAGTTAAAAATAATATATGATAAAAATATACTAAAACAGTCAATATTTTTCCCCAAAATGTATACTGGATAATAATATATCTTGAATATAACTTTGGACTTTGAATTGTAAGTAACTCCTAAAATTATAAATTTAATTTTTTTTTATTCATATAAAATATTTTAAAAGAAATATTGCAAGTTTATTAAACATCAATTACAATAACATCAAGTATGAAATCATATAAATTGAAATTATTGTATCTTATTAAAAATATTTTTATACTTATTAATATTTGAAAAATAAATATCTATTTATTTGTCCAAATTTCAGTATATACTATGTAATATAAATTTTTTATTTCTTAAATGTCCTCTCATTTTTTTGTCATGTATATTTAAACATAAATTACAACATATGTACTATTATTAATCGTTTTTATAATTAGATTTGATTTCAATTGGTTTATGTGTAAAATATGGCCCAAATATTTCTAATTGGAATTCTTGTTTACTTGATAACCAACCAATCTAAATAAATAAATAAATGTCTTATCATTTATAAGTTTATAGTATTTTTAATTGTATACTTCTCTGGATGTTGTATTAGGAAAAGGTAGCACACTTCTAAGATCTGTATTTAAATTGCCCTCTCTCGTCATGGCGTTTTTCTTTATTGCATTTAATTTTTCATTTCTTTCTCTATTTTGTTTGAAAATATATTAACAAATAAATTAAATATGATTTATTACAGTAATACTTATATTCATCCAATATCCACTCCCACTTATTAGGCCAATCATCAAAAGCTTTTTGTTCTTGTTCACAACGACTTCTAAAATTCTGATCATCACTTACAGATACATTTGCTCTAGCCATGTTATAATAAAATAATATAATTAAAAATATTCAATTTTAGATATTTATTATACAATAATATTTGTAACTAAGCAATATAACATTTAATTATTAAAACTATTGGCTTTCTAATATGTGGTTAGGATATTTTTTATGTTCAAGTTCAAAACATGTAAGTGATATACAGACGGTTAAAATGTAATTCTCAATTTTAAGAGTTAATTGAAAGTTTACAATAATGTATGTTTATAAAATTGCATGAATATTAGTTTTAAAATAATTTAATCAAATTAAAATGCGGATAGTATTTTCTAGAAAGATAAATATTCTATAATAATTATATTAGTAATCAATCAACTAATTAGTTAGTGATTATTACCCTTATATCCCTAAATAAGTAATTTGAAATAAAACATGTGTCAAAATAAGTATCTAGATTAAAAATGTATTCTAGTAATAGAATTTTGTATAATAGATGATTTGTTTGATATGACATTTTTTTGTTTTTAAACACTATTAAAGAAGGAATTAAAAAATTATTTTTGACACATTTTTACTCTTTTAAAATGTATAGAACATAAAGTCTATCTCTTGCCCTAGCAATAATATATTTTGTACATCTTTGATCCAAAAACTGTTTTAAATGTATTGCTTGAAATATATTATATTTTTAAATACTATTAAATTATTATTATTTTTTTAGGTATATTGGCTGGTCATGACAACCGAGTCAGTTGCCTGGGAGTAACTGAAGATGGCATGGCTGTTGCTACCGGTTCTTGGGATAGCTTTTTACGTATTTGGAACTGAGTTGGCCTTCTAATGAGACCTAAGAAGTCAACGCCAAACGGTCCCTGAATTACAAAAAAAAAAAACCCAAAAACAGCTAAATAAATAATTAAATTAAAATACATCAAAAAAACCTTATAAAGTAAAAAACAGTTCAAACATTTTTTTCTTAACGGGGGACCACTCACGCGAAATGAAATGTTTTGTTTTTTATCACTTTAAGTAATCTCTAAGTTGCATTATTCAAAATTAAATACCACCCGACTTGAAGGTCTTCCGTTTCGCGCATTTTGGGACAAGTGTCCGCGGCTGTTTAGGTGCTCAAAAAAACAAAACCGTGGCAACACAAACTATCTATGGAAACGTAGTGTTAACAATTATATTTTACAACATATAATATACAGATGTATATATATATATATATATACATACATACATACATACAAACTAAAATAATTATGAATATTTATATCTAAGTCATATAACTAGAATAGATCAGTATTTAAAGTTATAAAACGCTAAAAAAAAAAAAATTATATTCCTAAAAAGTTTTTTTAACGAGTGTTCATATTAAAAATAATTTTTAAAACAACAAAAAACAACTTTATATACTTTTCTGTGTAAATACTAGTAAATTAAATCTTGTGTATAATATTAAAATTTAGTTTTTAGAGTTAAATATATAATCAGAACTGTGTGCATTTTTCAAATAAATCTGAACTATACATTATTTTCACTGAGAAGTTTTAGATTTTACACCGATATTGGTTTTTAAAATATACAGGCGTTATTTTACAATAAGAAGTTAATCTACTAACAGTTTGTTCTTAATACAATGGTCGGTTTTTTCTCTTAGCTGATATTCGTTTATATTTAATTGTTACATCTCATGTGTATACATTTATTTATAAATGAATTATTTTGGGTTGAACATTGAGGTTGACTTCTTAATATATTTAGAATCGTCTTAACATTTGTAACACCACGGACGGCCTTCATGAGGGTTGTGCTCTGATCATACACATCTTTGGTTTTTATTATAAACAATATTCTTTTAATATATATTTTACTTTAATTTTTTTTTTTACATTCTAACGCACACATACACATTTTTATATTACATAACCAGTTTTTTAAAAAGCATTTATACCTATTAAAATATACGTGTGAGTTAATTGTGTTGTTTTTGAACTGTCAAGCATTCATTGAATAGTTAATTTTAATTAATATTAATTTTATTGTTACTTTGTAAACAAAACCATTACGTTAGCATTATGAATCTGATAAAACCATAAGTTTTGCCACTATATATATATCTAAAGGTGGTCATTATTTTGTATTATTATTATTATTATTATTATTATTATTATTATTATTATTTAATTACTTAATTCTTTAAATGTCCACGAATTACTAAAATAAATTTTTGATTCCCTAAATGGATTTACCTATGCCATTGAATATCCTGCAACTTTTACTGATAATAATGGTGATGATGGTAATATTTTCAGTTTCTTTTTAATTTTATACGGTATAGCTAACACTCAGTATGCATATTTATGGCAAATTGCACACAAAATTTAATATTTACATTTCCCTATAAATCTGATAATTTAATTGTTAATGTATCAATACAAGGCAAAATGTTTATTGAGTTTTACCTAGATCTTTCATGGATACGTTGTAATTTATGTGTATAAGAATGTCTTATTTCAATTTATCTAATCTTCATATACATGTGTTTTTGGGTTAATTAAACATGAAGCAAGACTTTTTTATATGCATTAGCTGTATACTATACCATGTGTTGTGTTCTAATATGTTAGCTATCTGATACAGACAATTTATCTTAATACCTAAAGAACTATTGACTTAGAAACCTTTTTTAGTTTTATGATTTAATATTTTTATAAATATATATTTTTTCCTAAAAGACTAATTATTTCTATTAAAAAGAAACGTCATTGAATATAATATTTAAATTCAATGAATATTGTCAACAACCACATGGTTAATTGTTAGAAAATACATTTTTTTTTCAACTTGAATGATCAGCTGTATAATAATTTATGAACATACAAAATATAAAATTAATTAAAAGTATACATTTTACTTTTAGTTACTTAAGAATAAACAAAAAAAATTGTATATTTATATGCATGTATGTAACATATTTATACATACATATATATATAGATTTATTAATAATAATACTAATAGTATGTACAAAATATCAAATTTATAATTAAATTTTTTTGCTTAACCAAACATCTTTGTAAACATTTTAATACATTCAGTACTTAGAGAATCTTATCGATTATTGTAATGATTTTGTGTTCTACTTTCATTTTATTTTTGTTTTTGAGTGTGTGTTGCAGTCATTTTTAAATTTTTTCTATAGTACGTATATTTTATAATTAAAAAAAAATTATCAATAGGATTACATCTTACCATCTAATATTATTATGTAAATATAAAATAGAAATTACATAATTTACAATTATAATTATAATTTTTTTTTTCGGCAACAGTTTGATGTCACACACTGTATCATATAGGTACTTTTACTATGGTTATAAATTATAATTATAAAATATTACAACTTTAGGTCTTACGTAAAGATAAGGTCTTAAAATTATCGTTGTTCGATAACTATTAAGGAAATAAGGAAAAAATATTAAAAAATATTGCAGTCAAAAGAATATCGCTGTTTTTGTCGAATTTCTAATCATATTAATTAATTATAAGTTAAGTTATCATTATTAATTTTAATTTATTGCCAAAAGGAAAAAACACTAAAAACCAAGTAGTTAATAGTGTCTTGTATTTTTTTTTTATTTCTTTTTTTTTTTATCGCTATTGCGTTTATTTATTTATTTTTTAAAATGTAAGTGTAATAAGTTTGTCATGGTAAAATAAAATAAATATTTAACATATTCAAATATGTTAAGTGTTATTTAATATGCTTTTTACACATTGCCATTGATTGAATAATTAAAATACTTTTAGAGCACTCTTTAAATTTTAATTTTTTCAAGCAGTGATTGACCTTATATGTGTATACATAGATTTTAATAAAAAATCTTTAATCAATGAGATTAAAATATCTGGTGACCCATTAAACATACTACACAAATTTTTTACATAAACTTTTGTGTTTTTTTTTTTATATATATATATATTAAACTAAGTGCATTTTTACATTTAAAAATGATAATTGTTTTCTGTTTATTTCAGTGACAACAAATAAAAATAAATAATTTTTACAAAACTAAATTCTTTATTTTCAACTAAACAAAAAGTTCAAAACTAAATATTTTATTAATTTTGTTAATATTGAAATCATATTATTTTTACAAATTGCTTTAAAAATCCAGTGTTAAAAATAACACCTATAGTTAAATATTCGTAAGTAATTAAAATTTATTTTAAAAAATCTGTGACAAAGAAATCCTCAAAACTTTAAATGATTATATTTAATAAATATAATATTAAAATTATATTTTGTAATTTAAAATTAATTCTTGTCATATTTTATAGTATTAACACATTAAGTATTTTCTTAGCGATCCCGCTGGTTACTGCTTTATGGAGATCCTATTAAATGCCTAAATAACAAAATGTATTGCAAACTAACATCATTCCCATAAACTTATTAAAAGTTGTAACATTTAACATAATAATATTACATTATTACTGCTGATGAAATATCTAAAATTCTATATTGTTTTATCTAGTGCTAAAGAAGTTTTAAGCCATGAAAATCTGAGAATTATTTAACTCAGTGAATTGAAAATTTCAGATCGAACAGTAATACTAGTACAGTACACTAAAAACAAGAGTATCAAACACAAAATAAATGTGTCCAAAAAGAAAAATCTCATTAAGGTTTTTATACCACCATGAGAATAATTACAATATTTTTTTTAATAATACAAATATGATAGTTACCTACTTTAATTATTGATTGAACAAATTTATTAACAGTTGTTGAGCTAGTCGTGGTCTAGAATAACTACTGTAAGAAGACAAGAAGTAACCTGTTATATATTCTTCTATTTAGAAAAAGTTAATTTGTTATAAAATATATTTCTTGAACTTTGTATTCCAATTTACCTAAATTTATTAAATTGACATAAATTATATCTAATGTATGATAATATTTATCGTCTAAATATTTAAGACGGCGCATTGTATAGGCAATTTATGGCCGTCCTTGCAGTATTTTAGAT